GATCCATGCTATTTTCTTCTGGTCCGATTCAACGGTTGCACTAAGCTGGATAAGGAGTGTGTGTAAAGAGTACAAACAGTTTGTAGAAAATAGAGTTCAGGAAATTCGAAGATTGACAGATCCAAAGGAGTTGGAGATATTGCCCAACAAAAGACAATCCAGCAGATATTGCCTCAAGGGGAGAATCAGTATCGAAGCTCGCGGCGGATGATAAGTGGTGGTATGGTCCTACCTTTTTACTAAATCCCAAGGATTCGTGGCCTGTACAGCCGTCGCACGGGGAAGAAAGCAAGAATACGTGGCAAGAGTTGAAGACATCCAAACAGACTGTGATGGCGGCGGTCGTTGATACTGATGTACAACCAGAGCACAGTATAGAGAACTTGCTAAAGCCTTCGAAGTATAGTAAGTTAGAAACTTTACTTCGTGTAACAGCCTATGTGCAGAGATTCGTTGACAATGTAAAACGAAGTTTGAAAGGTGAGGAAATTTTGAAGGGTCTTCTAACTGCTGAAGAACTAGAGGTGGCCGAGAAATCCTGGATTAAGCATGTGCAAGCTTCCTTAACAAAGCTGCCAAAATATAATAAAATGAAACGATCTTTAAGCTTATTTGTGGACGATGAGCAACTTATCCGTTGTCATGGTCGAATCGAAAAGTCAAATCTACCCAACGAAACGAAGTTTCCTATGTTATTACCCAGCGATCATGATTTTACTAATCTCGTAGTTCTGCATTGTCACACTGAAGTTATGCATAATGGCGTTCGGGAAACTGTAACTCAAGTTAGATCGAGATATTGGACAGATCGAAAAGTTGTTAACGGGTCGCGATGGAAATACTCGAGCAGTCGTGGCGCGTACTATCGGTAAAGACGGAAAGGTGACTACGTTGGATCGGCCTATTCAAAAGTTGTATCCTTTAGAACTTAAATTGGAACAGGAGCATCCTGAAAACTTTCCAATTACGTTTGTTAAGCATGGACTTAAGGAAAACTGATTAGATTTAATTACTTATTTATATCGTTGAATGGTTCTCACCAGTCAAGGTGGGGAGTATGTTATAATTAATGACGTAATTATTACGTGGACACCACGCGTGTGTCACGCAATTCTGCGAGCACATGGAATATTAATGTCTTGTGTGGAAGTTCTGAGTAGAGCGAGTTAAGAAGTGATATATAATTTTTAAAAGTTTATTTTTGATTTAAAAACGAGTTGAGTTCAATTATTCGAGTATAGTTCAATTTATTACAAGGAGCTTGCAGTAGATAAACAACATTTTCCAAATTTAGATAGCGTCGAAATTTGAAAAGTACATTATGTATATTACAAGTACCTGAATAAGTAAAATATATTGTGATCTACACAAGAATATCGTATCGTAATATGATCCGTCACAACAATTTAGGAGGAACTTACGTTCGGGGAAAATCTACTCCAAGTATTATCAGATCACGCATTGTTTTGTTATTTATTGATGGCAAGAGCATAAAAGATATAAGTGATGATGTCAAGCTGACGGTTAAAGGCGTGAGAAAAATATTGAATTCATATTTCGAAACCCATTCGATATCTGCAAAATTACCTCCTGGAAAAGATCATTCGGTGATAACAGACAATGTTTTAGAACACATTGAATGGTACAAAACACAAAAACCAAGTATATATGCGAGGGAAATAAGAGATCGCCTGATTAGAGAGGGAGTTTCTGATGAAAACCATGCACCTTCTAACAGTGCAATTGCTTATTCGATAAGATGGGAGCTAAATCTAACAAGAAAGCGTTTGGAAGTTATACCTGTAGAGTCCCTAACACCAGCTGCGATAGAGAAACAAAACCGATATTTTGAAGAGATTTCGGAATTTCCTGCACGACACATACATTTCATGGACGAAGCAAGTGTCATTCGTACGTCTGGAAATCGGACTTATGGACATGCTTATATTGGGAAGCCTGCTGTCGAGGTGTGCCGGTATAGTTCTGACGCTACTTTTACAATCAATTTGTTATGTGGTTTTTTTGGCATAGATTACTGTGATGTTTTGGAAGGTCCGTCCAATGGTTTAGAACTACTTCAGTTTTTTTCAGATGCTCTTGAGCAAAGGTACCCAAACGGAAACCCGATATTATCCGCAGGTGATGCTGTAGTAATGGACAATTGCGGCTTTCATCACGCTCGCCACATTGAGCCAGTTTTGCGTGAAATGCTTTTACGACAAGGTGTGACCTTGATATTTCAGCCGCCATACTGTCCTGAACTTAACCCCTGTGAGTATTGCTTTGCTCATATGAGAAAATCTTTCCGAAATAATGAGCGGTTTACTGCTTCTTATACAGAGTTAGCGATTGTAAACGCTATGGAATTTATAACAGCGGGTTTTTGCCGAGGATTTTTCGAAAAATGTGGTTACGTGTAAATATGAAGACATATTACTGTAAACTAGTCTACATCTTATTAACCGTGTCTACATCGACATCTAGTTAATCTCCAGATCTATTACTGTAACCGTTGAGTTAAAATACTTTATATGCATGCATGTACAGTAATTACACTTACTGTAAAATAGCGTCACAGAAATATACACTGTCTAGACGGTTTGTCTGATAATTGCTTACAATAACTCATATAAAATGTCAAACACGAAGTACATAAAGCTTCAACGACATAAACAAACCTTTACTGTAATTGTGTTCTAAATATTGTTTGTAATAATAAAAATATATTACAGAAACGTTTGTTACAATTTCATACAGAGAAACACTTTGAAAGTTAGGAAAAAAAAATTGTAAGGCCGTGTTTTACTGGGTAATAACCTGCAACGCAATTCTACTTTTGAGACATCTAAATTTACAGTAATAGTAAAGAGTGTTCGAAATGTATATATATATTGCAAGTTGCAAGAAAAATTTCATCGTGTATAAATTCGTGTGTAATACGGCCTTATAATCTTTGGCTTTGGTCTGACCAAAGTATATAGTTTACCAGCAATGAATTTCGTCACAAAAGTCATTTATTTACTTAATATCTACAATTACAAATACAAATAGAAGCTGACTGAAACATATGTAGGGTAAGTAACATTTTGCTTTGAAATATAAATTTTGAAATACTCATTTTTAAGCACTTTATGATTATAGTTTCTATTGAATAAAATAGTAGTTCATTAATTGCCATATTGAGAGTCTGGTGTTTTCTAACTTTCGAGCAGTAAAAATTAAGTAAAATGACAACACAACAATTATTTTGTGATATTGAAAATATAACTATCACTGTCTATAGCTAATTTTATTACAGTAAACGTTTAGTATCACATAGCATAAATCAACGGAATAAGAATCTAACCATGCATGTAGGGCCTAAGTACTACAAAAAAAGAAAGTCAACATGCATCCTCGTTCCCAGGAACGAGGATGGTCAACATGACGACTTGCGAGTTTATATGAAAGTCAGTGAAACTGTAATGTTTACCAAACTCCTAATTTCGTTTACCTTGACCTTGCTCATGGCTTTGCAGTGCAACATTAGCAAGTTCTAGCAACGCTGTTTGATGACTTTTTCCCACTGCAACGTTTTCGTTGATATTTGGTCTATTCACAACACTATTTTCTGTCTTTTTCTCATAGTCTGTATTGTGGTCTTGAACCATGGCAAAATCTGTGGCGTTAAGTTGGGAAGGCAAGGCCATTGGCATTGGCATTGCCGGGTGAAAGAAATTTGAAAATAACGGCGGTGGCGTTGCTTGCGTCGGGAACATCTGATGCGGATACACATTAGCCGGTGAAAAATGATTCACGTTACTAGGAAATGGGTGCATATAATATGGATATTGATGGAAACTTGCATCATATTGATTTGTTACCGGCATTGTTGGCGCCGAGGACAAACGAGTTGGCAATTTTTCGTACTGTGCGTTGACTTCTGCTGCCGACTTGGTGATAGTGCAACTACTAGATGGTCTGTTTACTTGCTCCTGTTGCTGTGTTGTGCTCGTTTGTTGTTTGCTAATGACTTCATCATCCTCATCACTGCTGTCGAATGTCATTGGAAACTCTTCCATTCCAATATCTGTTTTTTCCAGGAAATTGCCGGTTGAGCAAGTGCCAAAATCTGCGGACACTTTGCTTTTCCCCTTCCTGATTAATGATAGAAAATTCTCCTTATCGTTGTCAGAAACGAGAGGTATTTTCCCATCCACAGCAATTTTCATGTATCTGACATCTCTAAGTAGCTGCTGCATCCCGTCCTTTCCTTTGTATTTGTCGGGGAAAAGCCGCTGAAGTCTCGGACGAACATTTCGCACAAAGTTTACCTTGCTTTTTTCCGTCAGCGAATTCAGTCAACTGGTCCAGCTCTTTACTCTTGAGATCAATTTTTTCATTTAGAATCTTGAGAGCTTTTTCTTTCTATATTAAAAGCATTCAAAAGTAGTTGTAATAAATCGTTTATTCGTATTTCTGCATGTAATATACAATTTCAAAATGGTTATTGTTTTCAGAGTTACTGTAAACACTGTATTGTACAGGGTGTTACCTTTTTAAATTCAAATTAGCCATAACTTACAGTATTGTGGTAATTTGACAGCCGTATTACTATAATACTACATTACTAATACTGCAATAGCTTAGAATTGGCAAAAACAGAACGTCTTATACAATCGTGGCTGTTAAATTATTACAATGGCAAACTTTAATTTGAAAGTGCATTTTGATACGCCCTGTATTTTATAACTGAATATAGACAAAGTGGTTCCCACATTTCGAAACATAATTATGCAATTAGGAAATCTTACCTCTCGTTTCTTAGTTTTAAACTCGGGATGAAGTTTTTGATTTCCACAGTAGTGGTATCCCACGCACGGTTCGAATTCGCACACTGCTCCGTTTTTATTGCCATCCTTCCTATGTCCACGGTGATGGCATCGAGTGCAAGTGACCATCATCACTCGACTGCCAGTCAATGCAAGAGGCATTAGTTCGACAGGTTTACTGGTGTATTCCGACAATTCAGCCTTGAGAAGGGTGTGTTTTTTTTCTAATTCTAGCTTATCTTGCAAAACAATGTCGTACGCGGAATTGTTCCCTTTCGATAATGTTCCATCAGAAAAGAGCGTTTTTGGCGCAAATGTGCTTTGCCTTTCTGAAGTTTCGATTTTATATCCCGTTGAGGTTTCCCCATCTGTTTTTCTCTTTTTGCACGCATGAGTATCGACTGTCGTAGATTGTGGACTTTCGATTTGGAATTTACTTCCAGGCGATTGGAGTTTGGCAACAGCGCTTAGAATCATTCTTCTATGCGGTGCTGGCACGACAAATGGTATATTTTGTAAATCTTTTAGCTTTAAAAATTTTAACATATTTGTTGAGGTAAAACCTTGATTTCTCAACGATTTTGCGTATTTGTTTAATTCTGGTGCTAAACCAGTAAGAAAATCTTCGACACTTTGAAAAGGCATCTTTTAACTTGACGAAATTATGAAAACAAGTAAGCAACTAATGCAAGTATGCCCGAATCCCAAAATAGGAAGTTGACTTTTGCATATTGCTTACTTCCTGTAATGCAGGATCAGTTGATTTTTATTTAAATCAAATAAGAATTGTGATTGGTCAATTTTCACAGGAAAGTGTATGAATATCTCGAGGAACTTGATCAAATGAATTGGTCAGCCCGAGGTAATGTATTGAATCAATATTTTAGCAACACTTCAATTGGAACGACAGTAAAGATAATATTGATCAGATTTATACAGATTTTGAGTCTGTTGCTATTGAGAATGAGGAAGTTGCCTCCACTGGTGAGGCATCCGAGCCTGGCATTACAGATAAAATTGAAAATTTTGTTCAGCCGAACCTTCCTGACCAGGAAGATCCACCTGATACTGGCTCATTCCATAATTTGGCAGTGGAGTTTTCTGTGGTAGAAAAAACTTCACCAGCTCTTATTCTTGGGTTGGCTGAAATTGTTAATAGCCTGCTCAGAGATCGACTGACCAAAGAAAAATTGTCTGAGGTCCAGTCACAGTATATCAGACCAGAAAATTGTCCTAATTTAGTTGCACCCAAGGTTAACAAACAAATTTGGCAGCAAATGAGGCAGGCAACAAGAAATACTGATTCTGCTCTTCAAAAGACACAGGGTCTATTAATTTCAGGCCTTTGTGCTGTCTTAGAGGTGTGTAATGTTTCTGATGGGGATCAAAAATCTAAGCTTGCCCATGCAGCTGTTTTATTGTTGACAGCAAATCGAGAGTTCAACATGAAACGCAGGGACTTGATTCGTCCTGATCTTAACTCAATTCGATCCGCCAATATTAATTTCCGACGTATATGACGGGAAGATTAAATATTAAAGAACTTCAGAAATATTCATATAATTTTATTGTTTCTCGCTCAATTTCAAGCGAATTTCTTACCTTGAAATGATCAATGCGGTGAAATTTATGTAAATGCACATTATCAATTTTGCTGTTGCATTTTGAATGTTCCGCCTGATTCAAATGCTCGTCTTTTTGCTTCTTTTCAACGTATAATAATAACAAATATACCAAAAGAATCGCCATCTTCCATTCTATAGCTCGGAGCAGTCTCGGGAAATTGCAAAATAATCTAAGCCTATTATGGCAATTCTCGTGATCGGAAAGTGTTCGGCCAACTTCGGACGCCAAATTCTTGGTAAAGCATTACAGTTTCCTGGTAAAAGACTGCAGGAATCACTTCTGCAGTGTTTGTTTACCCTAGATACGGATTTTGATTGGCTTAGGCAGAAAAACAAATCTTTTAGAGCAATTTTCCTGATTATCGCGCACGGGAACGCACGAGCGTTGAAATGTATTGTGTTGTAGTTTTGTTTGAATCGCATTCCGAAGACGTTTTTGGCTTTATTTTGCAAACTGATAGTGCTAGTAATGATGGAATGTCTTCGTATGAAGACAAGTATCTCAACCTGGCATTGGGAGTCGTGTCTGGAGTTTCAAGGCAAGTATTTGTATCATTTCTAGACAATTTCTATTTCAATGTTTTGCCGTTGCCATGGCGTTGTAAATTTATTTGTATTTAGTATAGCTTCACTAGTACGACCAAGTATGTCCACATATCGCTTTTTTGTGTTGAAATAATCGTTCATACTGAAATTGACAAATATAAATGGTATTTATTTATATTGTTGACGAAAATTTATGGTGTTTTAGGCATAAAAATCTCTGATTCCTAGGCGAAGTAAAATGAGCCTTGAGCACATGTTTGGTTGTTTGTTACATACATAATAGCCAAGTATTCATACTTATATCTTACTAGTTGGCTCTTATTATAATTTTAAGTGGCACCATGTCTATAAAAGTTTTTATTTGCACTGATGAATATATTGTTCCTGTTCCTATCTGCTGTTCCTGTTTCATAGCTTCAGGGAAGTAGAGTTCTGATGAGTCACAAGAACCCCACTCACCAACCCAGAGGGAAGGTAGGGGGATGAGTAGAGGTAGAGGGAAGCCCAGCCATTAGGACCTAAGGTTTCGAAAGCTCCCTGTCTAGCATCCCCACTAGGCCCCATAGTACATGACAGATATGATGATCCTGACGCCAGGAATGTGCTCCCAGATTTTGCTCCTCACTGACATGTCCAGGATCCATTCCGATCAACTGTGAGCTTGAGTTCATTCGGCTCAATGAACTGTGAGCTTGAGTTCATTCAACTCTTTTTTACTAAGGGAATGCTTCAGGAGGTAGTTTCCTGGCCATACCAATACATATGCCCACATACAAATAACTCAAAAGTTATCCCCATATACTAATAAAAAAGGGTCTTGCAGTCCACCAACCTTGAGAGGTTGATTGCCTTTAGTATAATATGCAGGTTTGCTAAAGGTCGACAGTGAGATTGAAAATTATTGGAGTGTAAAAACCTTATATCATGGTCTGTGGGCAATAGACATAATTTCTCGGGTTAGGTACAAAGCGCTTATGGCGTTTGTGAATATGGTAGATCCTGTACTAAAGACTACAGCAATAACCTGCATCAACAACTGTACCAGCCGTCACAGAATATTGTTGTTGCAGACAAACACACTGTCAAATCAAGAAATAGGTTGGGGGTTAGGCAGTTCATGAAAGCTAGATGACCTACTATGTGGGGAATAAATCTGTGGTTTGCTGCAGACAATCCTAATGGTTATATTGCGACTTTGAAATTTATACAGGAAGAAGTCCAGATATTCATCGCAACAGATTTGGGTATGACGTGGTGATCTGATATCAGTTTGGTTACAGCCTTAGGTCTTTTGTAGTACAATATAAAGGGAATATTTTCACCACATAATCCAATTATGTGCTTTGGCAAACATTACTGCTTTAGCAAACATTACTACCTTGGAAAACATTACTTTTTTATAACTACTAATTATGATGATGCCAGTCCAACAACACTTGGTCATGCTATTTGCAAATATTTTCATGTTCTAGATTGTGAAAACAATCAATTTCTAAACAAATGAGTAGTGATTATTTCAAATTTGAATAGCATGACCAAATTATGAGGCTGGTTATGACACTAATAACTAAAGTCAATGGTGTAATGATTATCTAAGAATGTATGTAGTAATTGTAGAAATAAAGACATTTTGCTAATCATGATTTGAGTGTTCTTTTGTGGGTATCAGACTTATTTTGGTGCCTACTATCTTTGGAGAGTAAGAAATATTGGAAATTTGTATTGATAACATGTTGCAGCAATAAAAAAGGACCTTTGATAAAGGTATTTGTTTCATGTGAGCACAAAATGTAAATTTTACTCCACTACCTAGTTTATATAAAAATTCAATAAAAATATTTCTATTTATGCTACATGCATGAAACTTCGGGTACTTGTAGATCATAACCGTGTCTTTCAGTCATATTCATAAAATTTTTTGACATATTTGAAATTTGAACCGCTAAATACATTTATGCATAATTGCAACATTTTTTTATATCATAATTTATGCAAATTTATGCGAGTAAATCGTTAACCAAGCTCGGGATGAAATTGAAATTGGTATCGTTGGAAAGCAGAAGTCCCTCCTCTTTCGAACGGTGCAATTTCTGTTTCCGTGCGATGTATAGTTTGAGAGATATAAGCGTTTGAAACAACACCACTCGAAATTACTACTTTTCCACCGGATGAGAATGAGTTAAACAATTTTAGCTCAGTTGTATTGTATAACAACGCTCCACCAAGAAAACGAGGGAAGATACGTGAAGTAGAAAGGATTATAAGCTGAAAGAAAGAGAAAAATGTAAGCTGAACATGTTGATTTCTTTGATATAAAAAGTCTGTTTGGAGCATTTATTCATATTTTATGTTGTTGTATGTCTAGTTTATACTTCCAAAGCTTCATATTCAGTGATTGTGTATCAATAGGGCCATTTATACGGAACAAAATAAGACGCGACTTAAATAAGACGCGAGTTTGTCGTATAAAAGGTACAAAATTTTTATGTAAGACGCGTCTTACATAAGAACAGGCCTTTTAGCTGTTCTTATCTAAGTTGCGTCTTAAATAAGAAATTTTGGACAAAAAGTTTAACTACACATGCCAGAAACTTGAAACAACTTAAAATTATTAGCCTTGCATATTAAAAAAAAAAACCGAAACAACATTATAGCTATAGCAAGTAAATAAGAATAAAGCCCTAGAGAGCCATTTATGCGATAACTCCGCTTATTTAAGTCACGTCTTATGTAAGTGGCGTCTTATTTTGTCTCGTATAAATGGCCCTAATGTTAATGAAGGTATAATAATAAATAAATAAACTATGGGCAATGTTTTGTAATAGCCCTCGACAGATAGTTGTTTATGTTATATTTAATATCCCTTGCGAAAATCAACACTATTTTAACCCTATTTTATCCCTATTTTACTTTCTATTTTATTCCTATAGAAAAGCTATTTTATTTTTAACCCTATAATATTGCTATCACATATACAAATCCTGTATTAAACCTATTAGAACTCTGTTTTAATTGTATTTTATAGCTATTATAAATAGATTTTTTTGAAACAAAAAATAGCCTATTTTAAATAGATTTTATTTTTCTGAATCGGTGAAGCACAGATTAAAATAGGTTTAAAATAGGATAAAATATATTTGAAATAGAGTGCAAAATAGAAATAAAATAATAAAGTAAAGTGAAACATTGGTAATAAAATAGATTTTAAAATAGGTTAAAAATAGTCGAAAATACATATAAAATAGTGGATCAACTGCAGTATATTAACTAAAAATAGTAATAAAATTACTGCAAAAATAGTAATAAAATAGTTTAAAAATAGTAATAAAATACTGATAAAATAGTAATAAAATAGTAGAATTTAAAATAGTGATAAAATAGCTAACAAAATAGTAAAAAAATAGTTCAAAATTCTTATAAAATAGTATAAAAATAGTAATAAAATAATCAGAAAGTAGTAATAAAATAGTTATAAAATAGCAATAAAAGAATAGTAAAATAGTCATAAAATAGCAATAAAATAGTCAGAATGTAGCAATAAAATAACAATAAAATAGCTATATAAAAATAGTAGCACTGCAACATAGTAGTTACTTTACTAGAAAATACATGCATGCAGAAACCCTCGCCTTGCTGACAAAACCATTGTATTTTCCGAACATGAATTATCTAAAGTAGTTGCCATGGTAACACGATAATTTTTTAAGAATATTCGGTAATCGTTCTTACAAATGAAAAATCGCTTAAAAATATCACTTTTAATTACAAAATTATCAATTTCCCAACATATATATGTTAAGTATGATATTATACGTAATATAAGCTTCAATTTAAGGTAAATTTCAACCACAAACGCTTCGCAAAACGTTTTAAAGTGTTCTTTATAAAACTAAACTGCCTTTAATGAAATGGCTTTATCGATAAACTTTGAGTTTGCAATAAAATGATTTCAAATTCTAGCATGCAAATAACTTTGCTTTCTTTTTGATTTAAAAAAATTCAAAATAATAAAAAAAGGAATCAATATTAAAGATAGACTGAATTGGGGCCCGATATGCTGTCTTGTTTAGTTGTTTCATATACGCAAAGGCCGTCGGGTTTTAAAGCAATTATAAAATCAATATTTAAAACAAACTTACCTTCGTTAACGTCGGCTCCCTTCTTTTAGCCGATTCTTTCGCCATTTCTTTCTTGAAATTAACAAAATCTTGCAAAAATGCGAGCAAAAATGAAATATATTTGCAAGAAATTCATCAATCATCAAATAAAGAAATGTTTTCTATTTCGCTGTCGTCATGCAGTCGTTATAATGCAAACTTTAAATTGGACCAATCACAGTGTTTGCTATTCATGACAGTCCGCCATATTTTTGAGATCAGTGAGGATGACCACCCACGGTTGGTGACCCACGCCCGCGATATTTGATGAACTTTAGACTTCGCTAATGCTTTCGTTTCCCCGGGTGTAAATAGCCGGGGGGAATTAGTACCCTCGCACGGCGCTTAGCGCCGTCGGCTCGGGGATAAAGTAATAAAATTGTAGTATGATAATTAAAACCAGTTAAAAAATAGTAATGAAATAATATCAAATTAGCTGAAAACTAGCAATGCAGTACCATGGTTGACAGGTATATTATCGTTTAAAATTGTATAAAATAATACACATAAAACAGTTTGTATTCTTATTAGCTGTCAATGCTAGGTTGTGGCAGTTTAAGGGTGGCAGGGGTGAATGTGGCAGTTTAAGCAGTGTCAAATCAATGGCATTGTTTACCACAGTCAGAGTTACCAACATTTGAGTAACTGTAAGGAATCTATTACACGATTGGCTGGATTGGGTTTCAAATCAATTGCAGGAGGAGCAGTCTAGTAGTCTACTAGCAGTTAGACCCATGCCACCAACCATCTTGCAGATCAAGCAGTTATTGCCAATACATGCGAACTTAATTGCCAGTATTAAAAGGTGAAAAATGGGCAAGCAGACCACAGTCGATAAGCAAAATTGTCTAGCTTGAGACCTCACAGTTAAATATTGTGTGCAGAACTTAAAGTAGGGAGTGTTAAGGAAAATTACATCTAAATATGTCAATATGAAACATCATGGACATGAAACATCATGAGTCTAGCTGGACACTTTCCTTGGCAAATAAAATTGTCCAACATTAGGCAAGATACAAAAACATTTAAATATTAACAAACTGCTGAAAATTGGGCACTTCGCAGTGAAATGGGTAATTTTATTAAAAAAAAAATTAGTTCACCCTTGTCGTGACTTGCCGGGGTGTCTCTAAAGATATATATATATATATATATATAAAATGTAGCCCAAAGGTTGTTACATATATTATTAAGCAGATCATGCAGGTGGTGTAGATAAATGTATTCATATATTATAAACTTTGAACAAGCAAACAAAGGACTTTGACTGTTTCCAGTTAGAGCACTTCCATAATCAAGTTGCCACACAACAAATTGATCAAATTGACATTTTTACCTATTAACCGACCCACCCGGCATTAAAAAATTCAAGCATGGCATACAGAGGAAATTGAAATTAACCCTCTATACCCATTCCATTGATATCCTAGTGCATTGTACTATTACCCTCTGATGTTAGACATGGTAAAATCAAACAGCACTGAAAGAATCCAGCTTTGATGCAACCAACACCTGGTGTTAGACTGAGGGTGAAAAAAAATAAAGTAGGGTATATAAGTGCTATAATGGTAAAGTGCATGAGACATCCTTTTCCGGCTGATAATTTCAGCAAATATACTAGATAGATATAAGTAGAATATAATATAATGACATGTCTTGCAAATATAACGACATATACAGTTTTTATAAATTGTGTGTTAATTACTGTATCATATATATAATGCTCTCCTTATTCAGAATAACTTTTATTCTATGACTATTGTAACTGAGACATGCACATTTAGCTGGGATATATGCCTAGGTATTTATAAGCATATAAAGAATTGAGGACTGAAACTTGAGTAGATGCCAAGCTATAATATATTATTTAATTTTGATACAAGATCGAAACACTGTCACTGGAATCTGTCATATATTACACAACTATTAACTATTTGGCATTAGTTACAATAAACATAATTTAATATAAAGACTGAGTCAAATGTATGAAGCTTTGAACTAAACTATTGTTTTATATCATCGTTTTAAATATTGTCGCGGCAAATTCAAATTTTAAGCCGAAACATCAAGCAGCTGCATATGCATTCTCAAAATTCACGAATGAAGATTGAAGTAGAAAATATTTCCCTTCAAAATTGCTGTATTATACACAAAATATAACAAGATTCTTAGCTGGATATTACTCAGTCATCCTTGATGTTTCATCTTCGCTTATTAAGGCTTCATCGGCTCATAATATCGAGCGAAATATTACTTCGAAATTGTCGCGGCAAATTCAAATTTTAAGCCGAAACATCAGAGGTCATCAAACACGTGCATTCTCAAAATTAACGAATGAAAAAAGCAAATATTTCCTTTCAAAATTGCTCTATTATTCATAAAACATAACAAGATTCTTACCTGGACATTACTCAGTCATCCCTGATGTTTTATCTTCGATTATTCACAGTTAATAAAGCTTCATCGGCTCGAAATATCGAGCGAAATGTTGTAACTTCGAAATCACGAACTGATTATAAAAAATATGGCGGGGTGTAAATTCAGTGCTTCCACTTCCACTTTCAAAAAAATAATTTTCTTCCCAACTGCTCAAAATTTCCTTATTTTTGACAAAAATTCCTTTGATGAAGATGAATTTTACCTAGTTTAAAACTGATATTACAGTAATTCATCTTGAATGACGGTGTATTTCTCGGGCGAGAAACGCCATGAGCGTTGCAATTATAAATTAATTATAAACAAATGCAACAGGAGGCTTGAGGTCATGCCTCAAACAGCTGGGAAATCTGTTGCGCATGCGCCAGATTGCCATTGAAATTTCCCCGAAGAAATATTACGAGATGTTCGTGTTGTTGTATATTTTTGAATGCCTGTTTAATCTTTATAATTGTTTTGCTTCAGACAAAGACAAAGACAAAGTAAAATGTACTCTACGTTTCCAGTGTATAGAATATCTCGTTTGAACAGCAATAGAATATTATAATCTGGACACAAACAAGAAGACATTTGACACGCTAAATCTGCAGTCATGCCTGAGGTATAAAAGCCAATCGTCGCGAGCTTGACAGCCTTGTCAAACGCAAAACAAGTACAAATTTGGGTTCAAACAGAAAGAAGTTCAATGTTAATACAACTAACATATATACTATACAAATACGGGTGGTTTAAAATGTTTTCAATTGAACTTTCAAAGCTTTTATCTATCGCTATGATAATCAAACATGAAACTGTGAAAATGCCGGCTTTTGTTGACGCTTGCGAATGCAAAATAACTTCCCGTAAACAGAGCATTTCTACACAAAACTCTCGCTTAGTCTTCTGATGCACTTGTACGTTCGGTTCTACTAGTTAAACAAGGAAAATATTCAAGAAACACTGGTAAATTATCGTTGTCAAAAAACATTTCAGTGCTGAGGCAGTACAAGGTCTCAAGGGCAAGGTCAAGTTGTCGATTTCATTACATTTTACAGTACTTCGGAATGTTTTCGAACTCTTGCTTCATACAAGAGCAGTAAACGCACGCATTTCAAAGCGAAATTAGACCCAAAGGGGCAATTTTTCAACAAAATTCACTGTTAAATTATGTTTCCTATGTGCCTTGGGAGCAAAAAAATATGATTTTAAATTTGGAGGAATCGGTAAATTTTTTTGCAATTTGGCCTGGTATTGCACCCTACCTATGTAATGACTGTGCTGTAAAAGTAATCAAATATACTATTTTGAATTTCCCTTCATTGAAAGGATGTACTATTGTGGACTAAACTAAATTTTAATCAGCATACAAGGCTGCAAACAACAGCCAAGACTTAGCTGGGTAGTTTGCAAACTTTAAAAATAATTGGACCTCAAACTTTGATCCCCAAAAGTAAACAAATGGCCAATACTGCGAACATAATCCAAGTTTTGACCACTAGGGGCAATTTTTAGATGTAAAAAAACTTGTTTAAATTACATATCAAACAAAGGCAAAACAAAATTTGGTGTTAATTTTTTGGAGGAAACGTCAAGGTTTTTTGCTATCCGCCCATGCTTCTACACCCCCTCCCCCAGGATCTTCTCTATCAGAAAACAGTTTTCTGCAGAAACTATACTTTTTTATCGGGGAAATTTTTACTTTTCTCAAAAAAATACTTTAGAAACACGGAAACCTTAAATATTTAAATAATTTTCATACCTTTTTGGGATTGCAAAAAGCCAAATTTGATTCATTATCACACTTTTTAAAATATATGTGACAAAGTTGCTTCGAAATCACTATCACGCAGTAGCATGTTTATTTACTGGCATCCTTTTGACTGAATAAAGTTTATCTTTTTGAAAAGCTATTTGTTTTATAGCTCTTGCTTAGCAGTTTACGTTTATGTCGATTTTGGCACCCATGAGGCCAACAAGTTATGGTAATCCGCGAATGAAAACTGATAATCGAAGAGCACAAAAGCCAACTCCTAGTTATGTAACTTTATCGCCTGAAGTTTGAATCAATCCACAATTAAATTTCTGGTAATGTTGATGCTTTCCATACTTGAGATGTTAGAAGTTTTTCCAACAATTTAATTTCCTTGATTGCCATCTTAAAAATGCAAAATCATCAGTTGAAATTTCACTCGTGTTGTTTTTTCGAATTTTTGTAAAATATTTATTTCTTTTTGCAAAGAAATTTCCTTGCAAGTGGAAGCCTGCATGGGATGACCAGTGGGGATGACGCTGTACGCAATAGTTGAAGCCTCCTCCTTTTCTCACCCTCCGCCCCTCACCCCCTTCCATTATTAATGATTGGTCCCTTATCTGTGTAAATGTAAAATACGGTTCTATTTTATTTCATTTTGCTAAGTAGGAAAATTCAGTATGTTTAATTTAAATAGACTATTTTATACATATCTGCAAATTGTAATCCTGAAGCGCTTGGAAATGCCCTCATTGAAATAGACCTGGATATCTGGCGATATATTGTCCAAGGCAAAGGAATACCATGTGAGCACAGGGGCCATTTTCTTTACCAAGAAAAAGACTTTAGCCGCTTCCACATGCTTCCATCTGATTGGTGGTACTATTTGTCAGAGCAAGGTGAAGGCAAAAAAATAGATTTTCCCTTAAAGCTAAGGCCATACTTCTTTGGTTGCCTAAGAAGCACGCCGTTAGGGGCGGGAAGCATTCTCGTACCCAGAGCCCTTCTTACGCGCGTTCGACCGAGCACGACGAGGGGCTCTGGCCAAATCCATATCAAACTGGCTTCTGATTGGCCACAACGAAATATATGGTTTATTATAGTAGATATGAATAAAAATACACAAGCGCTCCACGAAGCGTTGGTTTCCCTTTGAAAATTGGGAGAAAAGACATTATTAAAGTTGAAAGAACAGCAGTACGAAGCAGTTAGGAAGATTGTTGTTGATAATCGCCCACAAAAGCGGTATATGTCGCTAATTTTATTTATTTAAATCAATTAGTTGATTGAAATTAATAGGTTGAGACGTGATGTTCTCATAGCAAAAAGTCAGCATATTTATGGCAGATGCTCATCGTATTTCCAAATCAGTGATGTTAATCAAACAAATCTGTGTTATATGTTCAAAGCTGAAGTGCCATCTGAAGAGAAAATATTAAAGCCAGCCAGAATATGAAGTTAATTGTGATGACTATTTTCTTCCTAGAAACCGATTTTTTACAATTTTCAAATGATTTGCAGTATAGTATGTCTTATGTATGACTGTTGACTTTTAATAAAACACAAAAAAAGTCTAAAAATCTGTACAACAGCGACTTAAAATCGAATATAAAATAGTGAGACAATCTCTCGTCTTCGTATCCGTAGCCATTACTGCTTTGGCAACGTTTAAGAGGGAAATATATACTAAATTTTTATCAACATGCATTGAGAACATCACGTCTTACCTACTAATTGATTTAAATAAATAAAATTAGCGAAACCTACCGCTTTTGTGGGGTTTTCCTGGAGAAAAACTTTCAAAACGAAACAAACAAGAAAGCCGAACTGTTTATCCGCGTTTGACGTTGAGCATGCGCAGTGTTTAACCGGATACCATGTTTTTATGGTATCCGGTTATGGATTTGGCCAGAGCCCCTTGTCGTGCTCGGTCGAACGCGTGTAAGAAGGGCTCTGGGTACGAGAATGGGGCGGGAAGCTTGTGGAAACACCCAGATTTCCAACCCTACTTATTTTTTTACCCTACCCCTACTTATTACCAACACCCTACTTATTCTTTTACTTGTCTAACGCTAGACTTGCTCCAAGTCTGCCTCTTGGATGTTCCTATTAAAGTAACTTGAGTTTTACTTTAGTTTTATAAAAGTAACTTGAGTTTTACTTGAGTTTTATTAGTAGCAGGCGAGCCGAAAAGGAGCGAAAAAAAGCGGGCGGCGCGGGAAAGGAGCGAAAAAAAGCGGGCGGGAAAATGGCGGGCAAGGAGGGAGGGGAGAGGCAGACTTGTTTCCCTTGCAGCGCGCCAAATTTACCGGCTGATTTTTCAACCGGAGGCGTGGCCTATCAATAATATGATTCATTCGTTTCATTGCGTGACATTTGCATGTTCGAGACTTTTTGACAAACGACAAGAAAGTAAACAAACTCTATACGGAGATGAGATCAATCAAGGATGCTATTATTTACGGAGCAAGTAAGTGTGGTTTCGATACGATCAGAGATCAGCAGAGGCAAGTTGCCGAGGCATATCTTTCAGGACGAGATGTGTTTATGTCTGCCCCAACTGGATCTGGTAAAAGCTTCACGTTTGAGATTGCTCCCTATGCATTTGATTTTATGTCAAGCGATCCTAACGCAGTTGTTGAAGAATGTCGATCAGTATGTCTTGTTGTGGTTCCTCTCATTGCATTAATGAATGATCAAGTCGCTTCTTTAACTTCACGAGGACTATCAGCAGCTTGTGTTGGAGGTGAATCAGAATGCAGTCCAGATCAGATACGAGAAATTTGTGAAGGCAAATACAAGATCGTATTTGGAACTCCCGAAGCACTGCTTAATAACCATCGTGGTATATTCCGAAGTCCTCTTAAGAAGCATTTGAAAGCCGTATTTATTGACGAAAGTCATTGCATTGCAAAATGGTAAGCTTTTATATTACTAGCTTTTCAGATAGACTTGCTCCAAATCTGCCTCTAGTTGGATGTTTTATAGTATAAATTACAAAATGAAAAACACATTATACCAAGTGAACATCATATCGCACATATATATATATAAATACATAAACAGCCTCTTAAATTGACATAGAGTTTGACCGGAGTTCCTATGGCTGTGTATAAATATTTTATTAGCAGACTAGTAGTGCAAATTCATATCTTTAATATTAAATAAATACTATATCAACTTTTTTAAGGGGAACCAATACCAAAACTGAAGAAGCCTTTAGAAAAGACTATGGACGGCTTGGGGAACTTAGGTCATTGTTGAACCGTAATGTCCCATTCATAGCATTGACTGCTACGGCAACACCAGATGTGAGAGCAATTATTGTGAAAGATCTAACCATGAGAGACTGTGTTAGGATTATCAGTGATCCCAACAAGCCGAATATCAGGTATGCAGTTATTGAGACTGATCCAAGTGATCTATATGGAACATTTGGTCATATTATTGATGACATTCGGAAGAATAATATAAAAGCATCAAAAGTGTTAATTTTTTGTCGTAAAAAAGAGCATGTTAAGGACCTGTATGAGCTGTTCAGCGAACATTTGGGTACACATGCCTATTACCGACCATCTGACCAAGAACCAGTTGATGATAGATCGAGGATTTTTGCAATGTACCACAAAAAAACGCACAAACTGGTAAAGTCAACAATTGAAAGGGAATTTTGTGAAGAAGATGGTATAGTTCGTGTTGTGTTTTGTACCATTGCATTTGGAATGGGTGTGAATGTTAAGGGTGCACATCTTGTTATTCATGTTGGACCATCTGGTGATTTGGATGATTACCTCCAAGAGTCTGGTAGAATAGGACGAACAGGGAACCAATTAAATCATGCCATTCTTTTGCGTTACAAAGGATGCACTAGAAGTAAGAATATAACCAAACAAATGAAAAATTATGTAACTAACATATCAGAATGCCGACGAACTTTGTTGCTTAGACCATTTTCATGCACCACAGAAGCAAGTTCTACCTCTAGTATTGCAAAACATTGCTGTTGTGATGTGTGTGCAGAATCCTGCAGATGTGTATGTATTTGTGGTACAAGTGTTGACTGTAAATGCAACAACTTTTGTCCCAAACAACAGTATCAATCAATTGCAGAAATAGCAATTCGAACAGTACATGCTGAAAAGAACAGTGTTAATACGACAACAAAGAAAATAGTGAATGTTGTCACTGATGAGCAGCTGACTTGTCTTCAGGATCATCTGATGGCTTATCGGTCAGAACTGGCACAGAATTGTTGTCACGAGAAGCTATTAACCGGACTTGATTATGCAACAGGTTATTCATCCATGCTAGTCAATGACATTCTGAAAAATATTAAGTATATTGAGAGCTTGCAATCACTAAAGAGTCAATTCTTCTTTTACAATGATGAACATGCTGTCAAAACTTGGGAGATTATCTGTGATGTTTTGTCGCTTGTCACTGAACAAGTCACTAGTTCTAATGAGACCAGTTCCATTGCTGTTGCAGGTAATAATGGGGATGCCAGTGAGAGTGCTAGTGATTGTGACAGTGAAGACAGTAACATTAGTATTGCAGAAAGAACAGTAAGACTGCATATTATAAGTAGTTCTGAAGGGGAGGAAACTTGCTCAGACTAAACTATGTTATGTATCTTTAATTAATCAGTTTCATATTTATCTCTTATTACAGTATATATAGTATTAATATTACATTTTATACTAGAGGTGTGCGTCGGATCGGATTGACCTCTCTCAATCCGATGGTTTGTCTAAGTTCTCAATCCGAATCCGATCCGAAGATGAAAAAAGTAATCCGATCCGATCCGATCCGAAACAATGTTTATAAAATCCGATCCGATGCTAAAATTCGTAATCCGATCCGATCCGAACTTAAGTTGTGTACGCTGTACAGCGTGCGTTAATTATTATGAACGTATTTTTTCATGATCATAAACGATATATTGGAAATAATGAATTTCTAGCAAAAATAAGCAGATACGAATCCGATAAAAATTGCAGGGCGATATCACATAATTATGCCTTATAGCGTTCACATTTACAGTACACAGTAACAGCAGTTTATATTTTATTAGAATTAGCATAGAAAAAAAAACCAACTAGTCAAAAATGTTTTATTCAGTATAATAAATCATGAGCTTGAGCTAGGTTTACATTTTAAAACATCTTAAAGTTTATCACTAATAAACCTCATTGTCAGGCTTCATGATACATAAACCTAACAAACCAAACAAAAAAACACAACATTCCTAAATTTCCTATATATCCAATAATATGGAATTACTTTTATGCTCAAAGCCATTGTGAATTCTGATGCCATTTGTAACGTAAAAAGTGGAATACAGCTGCAGAATATAGAACTTTCTCAATTTGTAAAAATATTCGAATAATTCGACGTGATACAAGAAAAATCAAATCCGAACCGATCCGACAAAAAACCTGCAAAATCCGATCCGATCCGACAGAAACAAAACGAAATCCGATCCGATCCGAGTAATTTACTGTCCGAATCCGATCCGAATCCGATCGGATCGGATTCGGATCGGATTCGCACACCTCTATTTTATACAGTCTAAGCTGTGTGTACACAGCTACTTTCCGATTTGTCGTGAGTTATACAGTGTATGTACACAGACACAGTGTATTTACATTATGTTATCTATTGATAACAAATATAAAATAATTTTTTTCTAGCAAATATGTGCAGATTAGTGCGGTAACTCAGCAGTGCAAAGTGCAAACCAGGTTATGCTCTGATGACACACAGTAACAAAATATATTAGTCACCAATAATCCTACCACTGATAAACTGTGCCCCCTTAAAACCACTAGATTTTCATTGGTTGACATAAAGAGAAACCTCAAACCAGGTGACATAATTGCTGTAAGATAAAAAATTATCATCGACTATTTTACTGTACATGAACTAGAGGCTCTTTTCTAACATAGACGAGAGGGAAGGTGATCCAAATGCCTGAAAAATAGGAAAATAAATTCTTCGACGTTTCGAGCAAAGGCCATTTGTCAAGAAGTTAGTGAGGAAGAGAGTTCCTCACTAACTTCGTGATTTATCAAGATGTTAGTGAGGAAGATTCTTTTCTAACATCTTGCCCTCATTAGATAATCTAAATCTTATAAAAATGTTTCTTGCTAAATTTCTTCAAAGACTCTTTCATCCATTTGTGAAGTTTATCCATTGGTATTTGTTCCAGAAGGTTGTGGGAAATATTTGGAAAAGCTGAATGAGCTCGTCCGGGAATGTTTTTGAATACTTCTGCTGAGCTCACATGCTCAACAAGTGCTTTGACATCTTCGTCAGTTGACAATCTAGTGTGCCGGCCGGACGGCCTTTTCACAGATGTAGTGTGATCAAAATTCTTTGCTATCTTCTCAGAGCTCTCTGTACTTCTACCGATTCGATTCACGGTTTTATCTGTAAATTCCCCCCGATAACTGTGACAGTCATTCTTGAAGAACTTGTTGTCGTGTTCGATTTCTAGGTCCATCGGATGGTTTGTGTCAGCTTTGCCTTGATGGTTTACAAACCTGTTCCAAACAAGAGAGTGTGCTAGCCTTGGTGTAAGCAAACAGTTTACTTGCGTTTGAAGATGCAACATTGCATATGCATATTTCGGGCACCGGGAGACTTTAAAAAAGAGCATATAATACTTATACAGTCGAATCACACGTGCACCATCACCAAACTTGATAGCATCATTGTGATCGGCTCTGAGAAGTAGCATAATTAGCAGCTGGTGAGTGTAATTGTAGAGGTGGTCAACCTGCTTGGGATCTTTAGTTGCGGAGCTCACAGTTGGCTCTTCAATGACAATGTCATGAATCTTCACCTCATGGGCCCGCAAAGCATGGGGACGAACATATTTCTTTCCACAAACTCGGCATTGCAACTCTTTTGTCTCTGGTGGACTGACCACTTCAGGTATTTGGTGAACAACATGCTCCTCTATAAACCTGGTGATAGAGCTGATGACATACTCCCTCTCGTCAAAATTCCCAGCAAGGCCTTCATTTTTGTTTTTGGATGGTTCATCGTCTACAGATTCCATTCCAAAGAAATCAAGGGCTCCTACAATCAAATATGCATCCATGACCTTGTCAAGAAATTCACTTGATGCATAGAAGTTCTTATCAGGGTCACATGAAACATTTCTCGCATCAATAGCATTTCTAGCTGCATACAGAGTTCCAACATCTCTAGCTGAAGATGTGCTGTATAGATGATTCCAGATGACCTACAGATATAAAAAATTGATAGCTTTTAAGTGGAGTCTTACAATAGAACATTTTGATCCAGATTGAGTAAAGGCTCTGTTAGTGTTACACTATGCATGCAACTTGTATCAAAATGTTGTAACAAATCACATAGTGTACGTAACATGCCTCACAAAAGAAGCATTGCACAAAGCATGGACAGATTGTGTGTGTGGGGGGATGCACCCCCTCCCAAAAAAATATCCCCCCCCCCAAAAAAATTGCAAACCCCCAGAAAATTGAATGCTATAAATTGAATTAAATGACAGTAGTATGATTGAAATAAAGTTCCATTTTGCTTGTACCACCCCTTAATTTTTCAACTCCCCCAGAGAAAAATCTGTCACTGGCACAAAGTAGAAGCAGGTTCTACTTTCACAACGATTCAGCAACTATGCAATGTATTTCAAGAAATACCTTGCAACTTGTATTGCAATGGTTTTGTTGGTCAGCCAATTTGTCATTACAAGACAAGTTGCACAGTGTAACAGCACCTTAATAAGTAGTACCTTTGTCCATTCTGCTTGAGTATGAAAATCTTCAGTTTTTGGAATAAGACCTTCCATTCTTGTTGAAGGAGTTCTTGCATCCTGCATCGCTGACTGTGCTTCTTTGTGCCTTTCGAATGTCAGATAGTCGCCTCCACTCAATACTTTAACTGGTTTGGATGCTGCATCATTCTCTGAGTGTCCAGGAACATACTTGTGTATCCAATCTAACAAATCTATCATTTCAGCTTCATACTGCTCATTCTTCTGTAACACTCCAAGATTTACCTATGGAATAATAAATGTTTAAATGAGCTACTGTACATATTATTATGAAACAATATTTGATGTTTTCTTAAACTGTGTTATCCATTAATTGTATTATTAATTGTCTGATGTACTGTACCTTCTCTGTTTTCTGCTTGGTTTCCTTCATGTATACATGCTGAATTTGATCTGGAAGGTGCTCTTTAAACCATGCCAAGGCAGGTATATGCTTGGCCCATATTTGCCCAACAAGGAATACAAACTCATCAACCAACATACTTTGTTCAGCAGCATTTGGTAGGAATGTGGTAAGAGGCACTTTGTCAACATTCATTGTTACTTGGTCATTAGGCAGATGATTTGGAGATATCCTGTTCTTGAATGCAACATATTGATACATATGATGATCTTTGTTTTGGTTCTTTGCTGTCATCTGACGTGGCTTGCATCTTATGTCTACATTATCTCCTGTGAAAGAGTACCCAGGATGCATTTCTTCTCTGTGTTTGTCCAATTCCTGGTTGTTGGTATTAACCTGTACAGCACCTTGAGTCGATAACAAATCTTTCTCCCTTTCATCATCTGCTTCCACTTCTTTTTTCCACATTTTCAGCTTTTTGTCAAAGTCTTCTCCAAAAGAATCAAACATTCTACTGGTAGAATTGTATCCCATACAATTATTTAAGGCAGACAACCTTTTAAAACCGATTTTCTTCAAACCATCTTTCTTCAGAATTACCGATTTCACACGTCTAGTTGCATTCATGTCTCCATTGAAAATAGAAATTAATTGGCATGCAGCATCACACATAGGTGGGACAAGAGCCGATTCCTTTTTGTTCACATTCCTTGTATGAGATGGATTGTTCACAGATGAGGTAATAAGCTGATGAAATCTTGGAGTTCTTTCAACAAGTTCAGCATTCATATTTTTCCAGTCAAATGATGCCAGATCACTGGAAGTAGTTTTACGAAGAAGTGAAGGATGTGAGAGCGAACACAAGTTTTGCAGTTCTTTCTGTACTACAGAACATGTTTCTTCATAAACAGCATCTTGAAAGTCACCATGTTTCATAACAGATGCAGCAAATGACTTTGCATTGCCAACTGCTAACTGGCGTCCAACAGCACATGCATTGTCTGGCAGTCTAATTCTTTTTGTGCTGTTAGGGTAGTTGATAATCACCTTAAAATGTAGAACAATAATTACAACACTTACTACTACTAATATAAAAGGACATGTCTATGAGGAGGGGGTGGGTCTTATTAGAAGGTTGTCTTTCTATTAAGCCCCCCCCCCCTTGATGCCTTATTATTAATTGGTTTATAAATAGATGTAGATGAAAACAGTATTTATTGTTATTGTACATGACAATGGCTATTAATTATTCATCTAAAACCTTCAACTCAGTTTATAACATTCATTTCTAAAATATAACTTCAATCCAGGATTCTTCAAAAGGTTTTTTTCCATTTTTTATCTGAACTTTGTAAACAGCCTGATAGTCTAGGACCTGTATATGAGTTTGTATGCATTTCATTTAGGACAAATAATCTCAACTGTTTTAGGGCAAGTTGACCATGACGGTCAACATGGTAACGCTGCCCGAACCCCAATCCAGGGCGAAACGCCCGAAACTGACCACACCCAGAAACGACGCTTTCGCCATACTGCTATCTACCAAACCATAAAAGCTTTGGCTATTCTGAGGTGCTTACATGGTTCAGAGATTGGGGGTGGTCATTGGTAAGTGTGAAATGCCTAGCACTAATATTTCACAAGAAAATGGCCATGCAATAATCATAGTTAAACATCAATTTGTGGCTTGCAAATTCAGATAAACAGCAGTGGACTTACATTACCTTTTTCCCTAAATCTTTTTGATAGAAAAAAAAATGGTACTTATTTAAATATATTATCACTGGTTTGAGATTATCTGTCCTAAATGAAATGCATACAAACTCATATACAGGTCCTAGACTATGAAGACGTACAGTGAATCCTGGATTGAAGTTATATTTTATAAATGAATGTTATACTATATAATATAAGGTAAACACGCTTGCGGCGATGTATAAAACTAGTGCTTAGAAAACATGAACGATTATAAATATTTTGCTCGGGGGTTGCAGAATTTTTAATTATACATTTTTGGAAAATCTGTGCGCATATTTAATCATAAATCGACTACAAAGCCAAATAAATACATCTTACCTCAACCGACGAAACTGAAAGAGACTCAGATCCCTTCTCTTTCGTACTGCCTGAAACGGTTTCAGTTGATACGAGGCGTGTCTTTAATAAAGTCATCGCAGGACACGAAGGATTTTTAACTCCGCAGTCGGCTTGAAACAAGGATTTTCTAGCCGTTGGCCATACATCATCAGCATCATCCTTTCCCATACGTTTCGTGTACGCGGTACATCTCTCACTGTATAGCTTCTTCTTCGAACATTCAAAGCCTTCTCTGACGTTGACAATCTTTTTGACCAAAGGTCTCATTTCGATCGAAACATTTTCGGCAAATAATATCCGTTAAAACAGAGTTTCGATCAAGCTCTACTCCGAGTAGAAACTCTAAACTTAAACAAGCTTTAGTTTTTTGCCAGTTTTGTGATGACGGACAAAACAGCCTCCTGCGAACGTCGGCGTTCTCTACAGATAAACTGCATATAACGCAAATTCTATTCTTTGAAGCAGGTGAACTATCCAGGCGACTATAAACTTTTGTCGGTGTCGTTTCTTTGTCCGCCATATGCAAATTAATAAACACAATGAAACCGACACGGAATCTGTCTGTGGAATGTCAATCAGTTTTCGCGCCAAATTTTTAACAAGATTGAAATCGCTGCAAGGGAAACAAGTCTGCCTCCCTCCTCGCGGCCTCGCCCGCCATTTTCCCGCCCGCTTTTTTTCGCTCCTTTTCCGCTCGCCTGCTACTAATAAAACTCAAGTAAAACTAAAGTAAAACTCAAATAAAACTCAAGTAAAACTAAAGTAAAACTCAAGTTACTTTAATTAGGAACATCCAAGAGGCAGACTTGGAGCAAGTCTAGTCTAACGCCAGATTTTTTTACTTGTCTAACGCCAGACGATTTTACTTGTCAATTGGGGAGCTCTGCAGCTTAATGGCTTAAATATTAATTTAACTAATTTGTTGGTCTTGGAGTGCTTTTCGTAAAATGTGTTTCAACTTCTCAAGTTTCCTAGAACGGGTTTGCACTCCCAATTCCTTCAACCTTTCCTTGACTAATGCAATTGAGAGACTTTCGACATCTAAAGTGTCGTCTGAATTGCTTTCTTGCGATGTAGGACAGGGAGAATCTAACAATTTCCGGCGCTGTTTGCTTTGTGCTTCCTTAATATCATGAGACCAATAATCAACTTTTGTGGTAGGTTCTTGTTGTTCGTTCTTGTTCACTTGTCACCTGTAACTGTTTGCCCACAAGTAGGACATCTTTAGGTGCATCCCACTTGTTTGATTTGGTCAAATGGTATTTCCGTACATCATCATTCTTCTTCTCGACCCCTATAAATTCAGTGAAAAGGTATGCTGATTATATACAGTACTTGTTCAAGATTAGTTACTAATAAACTATTTAAGCAAATATGGAAAATATTACCTTGTCCTGTGAATTTCTTTACACCACCATGTTTCTTCATAAAGTTTGGCACATGATAAACCACGCAATGCATGTATGGTGTGACTTGTTTTTTCCCACGTCCTCCTACTTTACCACCAAGAGACACAAATAGCTTAACCCAGGCAGAAGCCTATAGTTCAAATTAGCAGAAATGTATTGATGGCTTTTGGGATGATTACAGTACACATATTTGACATTTTGTTGGTACAAAATATAATGGCAATTTTAAAATCCAATTTCTTGTTGCGCTAGCACTTATTAAAGGTTGACCAATGGGGGAGCACAGAAGGCCTACAGTAATCCAGGACCATAAGAGTAGAGTACTTTATCAAACCTGTTTGAATAGTTCATCGATATGTGCAGCTGAAGGATTAGGCTCATTCACCATTTGATAAATGTGACTGAAATCCTAAATATAAAATGCAAATTTTATCTAGCTATAATTTTCTCTCTTTAGCGAAACAGAAAATTTAGCTTATTTAAAATCGTGAGAATACCTTCCAAATATTAATTACAGCATCCCTGTGTGTTGGCGCAATGCAATCCTTTAAATTTTCTGGGAGGTGTTTCAATAGTAGCTTCTTGTCTGAGCCCATCAGGCTGGTAAAGTCGTATATGCCACTGCCTTTCCCATCTGCATTCTTTTTCTCCCAGACATTAAATGAGACTCCGCATTCATTTACCGAGTTAACAAGGTCCATTAGGTGACGATTTGACCTATCCTTGGGAGCTCTGGGTAAGTTGTCCTTTATGTCCCATTCAAGGGCTTGGCCAATTAAGCTTTTTGTCAACACATCTAAAACCGTAAACATAATATATTATAAACATAATATATTATAAAAGATTTGGTTTTGTTGATATGCAATTATCAAAACTTTTGACAAAGTGCGCAATGGATAACCAGAGCTAATTACATATTAATTGTTCAAAGTATAACAACTGTAAATAAATTTTACTAGACATCTTTTTTTATTATTTAGTTGCATACTTCTTTCTGTACCTGTGATTCGGAGCATTAAATGTAGTTCATCAATAACGACATTTTCCAACTTTATATCAAGCAGGGGTTGGAATTGACAAGAAAATTGACCTTTTAATGCACATTCTTTGATGTCCTCAATTGATCGACTGTGTTGAGTTTCCCAGACATATCACATCTAAAAAAGTAAAAATATGTTAAATGATATTAATGAGATTTTACTTGCATGGGTAGGATTACATCACTTGAGACTGGTTTCTAAATATAGCCACCATGGTGAGTGGCTTTGTCATGAACCATTTCTCAAATGATGCTGTGTGACTAAAGCCTGCAGTTCGATGTAATTGTATCAATCAAGAACTAATCTGCAAGAATGCTTAATTCTTTTATGTCTACTACAGCAATGTTGTCATTTGCCAACAAGTCATTCTTGTGCAGGGGCGTAGGAAGCGGGGGGGCACGGGGGGGCACGTGCCCCCCCCCCCCCAAACTTTTTTAAAGGACTAAAAGTGCCCTTTTTTGTGATAAAAAGTGCCCTTTTTGTGTTGAAAAGTGCCCTTTTTTGTGAGGAAAAGTGCCCCTTTTGTAGAAGCTAATGTCGCTGTAAATACTAAATTAAAACAATAGGTGCCGCTTTTGTGTGGAAATTTACAAATTTTTTTTAAAAATTAGGTCACAAACATAAATTTCGGTATGATACGACGGAAAATTTTCCTCAGGAGAAATTTCTCCCCCCCCCCCCGTCGATAACATTTCCGGGAAAAATTTTTTAGGTGCCCTTTCCGATAGTAATGTGCCCCTACAAGCCGGTGCCCCCCCCAAACTCCAGGTGCTTCCTACGCCCCTGTTCTTGTGGAAAGTGCATGGGCTTTAACCAGGCTAAGGTAGGACTCACCTGTCTAACTTGAATATTTTGCACCAAATACATGCATAGTCAGATGTGGTTCCTTTCATGCCAAGTACCAATAAAAGAAACTGAAAAGTGCAAATCAAGAATTCAGCTTTATGTAAAAACATTGCATGACTGATTATTGTATTACCAAACAGTACTGAAATTTGCAGGAATTACCTTGTAATCACCTCCTAGATAAAATTCAACAGGCACATCTTTTCCTTTAATGTTGATTTTTCCTGCTTTTACCAATCTGTTGATGCAGCTAAAAATCTTTGAACACGAAGCCTTCAAAAGGTTGTAATCTTCATGACCTTTGATTACTGCAACTGTGTGGTTCCCTTTTGTGTGTAATGAAGAAAAAATAAGGTTTGTTATTTTCACTCAAATTTATGTATTGGTTGGATTACTCAAGTAAAGTATGTCATCAATTTAGTATGTCATCAAGTCAGATAATTTATTATTTGACCTGTAATTTTAAAAGATTTACGTTTTGAAGACATAACAGTTTCTTCCAGATTAAGAACAGAGAAGCTGATCACAATGAAATTTGTCAACCTTGTCATCTTTGCACCATCTCCACTGACTATCACTTTGACTGGACCTTCACCTAATTTGCTGTCAGTCTCCATCTAAAGATGAATGAAGAATTTAAAATATTGAAAATTAATAATAATTTCTAACTTTAGTGATGAGCAATGATTGGCTAACTCAAAATTTCTAATCACAGTAGGTTTTTACCCAGCCTGGGACACCACAGCATCCACCATCCATGACAGGTACATAATAGTTTATTTAAATCTTAATGATTAAAGAATGAGGATTCTTACCATATTTCCAATTACATGACTTAACTCATCTTCAAAATTGAGTGCTGCCCCATTTGCTTGTCCAGGAGTTTGTTCAATATAGAAAAGCTTGTTGAGATTATCTTTGCATTGCTTCACCAGGTAGGACCTTGGAAGTGTCTCTCCTCCTGGACAACAAGTTAGTTCATGGTATGCAGCTTCACCAATGCAAAATTTGTCCATTATATATAAAACTTGCTGGATGTCTTGCTTTTCGTCAGTTGGGAGTTCAGTATAATTCTTCAATCCCTTTTCTTCAAAAGGTAAACAATGAGCTTTTCCAGAGTCGTCAATCATTTTCACACTGTTCAACTTAAGTCCAAACGATTCACTAAACCAAAGTGCTTGCTCGACCCTTGTTGCCAGTGTTTGAAGTTTGCGATCTTGCTGTCGCTTTCCTACTTCCAAAAACGATTTCCCTTTGTCCTCAAACTTTCTTTGGGGAGAAATTTTTTCAATTATATCGTATAATTTGTCATTCTCCCTTTTAAGCTTGTTAATGTCAATAGTGGCCTTGTCGATTTTTATTTGGCTTTGACTCACCAGTGCTGATGCTTCCTTACATTTGATGTCTAATGCCTTATTATCATGAGTAATCGTCGCATTTACACGTTCAAGCTGCGAAACTTGGCTTTGCAAATTGTTTACCAAGGCAACCGTACTAAGTTCGCTATGAAGAATAGCAACACTCTTCACCTTGGCAAGTAGACTTTGCCGAGCTCCTCCATGTTTCCCGATAGCTTGCTTAGACACTTTCGTGCAATGTATACGAAGGCATTCATTGACTCTTGAACCATTCTCCTGAATCTTCAGTGAATACTGTTTGTCAATAAATGCGTTCAGGTATTTGTACGTACGTGCAGTCAGCCAATGTTGTGTGCTTTGCATTGTGCCAACTGTTTAGTTGTTCAAATGGAATGTGAAGCGTAAAGGCAACTTGTTCAGGTTCAACATCGTATCTTTTAACCAAGTTTGGGCAATGCTCGCTATCAACAACTATTTTCTTTTTAATTTTGTATTAGAATATGTATCCAGAGCGTTTGCCATAAATTTGCATTAAATTTGCATGTCATAGAAGGAAACGGAACGATTCTAATTTCCCGCTACATTGCGCGATGAGCGTTTGCGGTTGTTAGTTACCATAGTAATGACACAGGAAGTAAATAGGTAAAGGCAGTATGTGCTGAGCAGTAACACCACCGTCTCTAGAAATGTATTGTGAAAGAAAGCTCTGTTTCTAAGCTATAATTTGATGTATTGCTCGACGAATTCCGACAAATATAACACTGAAAACTTTGCATTCAAAAACAACGCATTCGAGTTTCACATTTCAAACTTACATTCTCAAAGTATTTCTGTCTTTAAATTTAAAATATCGCTTCTTGATGAACAAAATGGACCTGTCAAACGGTGTATATTTAAACAAATGGAAGGGTTGTTGTGTGGTGTATTACTCAAACTCTGCAAAGCAAACGGCACAAATGGAAAAGCAATGCTGAGTAACTTGCTCAAGGTCTTTGAATATCGTGAAATTCGGGATTTTCGTCAAACTTCCATAGGTTAGTATAGCAATTGTATATATATTTTTTCTCGTTCGTTTGGACCTGTTATTTTATCCAAAGAAAATCTCAAATTTTGCCCAATGTGAAGATTTGGGTATGTGAAACTATGGACCAACGGCACAAAATTGAAATACTTTGTTGGTAGACTTCTATTGTACTTTTTGTGAACACTTACTAATAATTTTATATTGCTATTTTACTGTGCGTGCGCTTGCACAATATCGCATGTCTCGAATTTCTGGCCATGATCATGGTCTACCAAAAAACAAGAGGTCACATCAAGCCAAGAATCATATTGGTGCAAGGATGTTTTGTTGCAAAAAGCCCCCGAAGGCTGAAGATGAAGGAAATGAGTTAGTTCATCACCAAAGGGCGCATAAGAAGAACATTGTTTTAGATAAATGCAAGGAGAGTTCTACAAAATATGTGTTTCAAATCAGTCAAGATGATAGAGCTTATCTGTGCCCAGATATTGGCACCAACATGAACAGTGCTAGAAATCAAAGAATCTACCAAAATGCAAATGAATCTTTGGCAAGAAAGCTTCCCAAATATGACTTCCCTGTTTCAATGGTCAATGTAACACCTGGAACACACCAAGTCATGTCTAAAGAAGTCATTAACATAAATGGGAAAGAAGAAATCAGGTTGATTAATGATACTACATTTGTCTTTGCCAGATCCAAACATTTTGTAGGAAGCTCTGGCACTGTTTGGGCTAGTGAACTTATGGCAATCAGAAATGAAGAGCCTCGATTATTTGAAGCTGATGAACCACAAGACTATCAGAGAAAGAGATTCAGAGCATTGATGTACAATCTCAAAGATAATGTTTTGCTTTATTCAGATGCTACTAACATGAAGGATGTGGAAAATATTACCAGCGGTTCCTCATGTAAATTCAGGAATTACGAGCAGAACAGATTACAGTCACTTCAACGATGTGTGGAGGAAACTGTAGACTACTATGGAGTACCAAAGAGAAAGTTTCAATGAACGAGAATCAAAGCACTTTGAAGAAATTATACCAGCACTCAGAGATTTGATTGTTGCAATTCACCAGTGTATGGAACACCTTGGCAAAAAAAAGAGAAGGGCTCAAAATTGTTGGACATGGTTCAAAACCTTGTGCAAAAGTGTGCTGGTATACTTGTTTTGGTTGATTCAGTGCATCTTCCTATGCCCAAATCTCAATTCTTGGAATGGACAGATGCAGGGCCTGGTGTTTCGGTATCAAATTATGATCTCAAGCTTCATATAGCACAGAGAATTAGAATTCTGAACATGGATTATTATATCAGACATCATCTCTGGCTCCAGGTGACAGCAGCCAAAATGAAGTGGAAAGAACACAAAGCTTTATTGCAGACAAATTATGTAATGGAGGATCTTTACAGTGGGAGTACAAAAAATGTTTGATGGGCTAAGTGAAGAAGAATTGGAAGCAGGGTGTTAGCCAGCCAGGATTTCACAAGTGGCCGTCCAAAATAATTGTTTGGGCGTGGCCACAAATTTTTTTGGGCGGGGTCACATGTTTTTTTGGGCGTGGCTGCAATTTTTTGTTGTGGAATTGTGATGTTCTATTCGTTGAACCTTTTTAATTACTTTTAGATGCGCATTTCCGTCATAAATTAGTAAAAGCACACATATGGTATGAACCATATGATCACTAAAGTATATGCTATAATGAAGAACACAATACAGCATTGTAGTGTTTAGTTATTTTTCCCTTTTTTATGTGTTTGGTTAATTTTATAGCAATCTTTACTGTAACTGTAACTGGCGCTAGAGCGATAAAGCGATTTCTGTCTTTTAAAACAGCGGTTTTAAATTATGGTTTTAAATTATTCTCCTTGATACTTCATGTGAGAATCATCAGCATGATTACAAAAACATGGCGCGTTTGTCAACAATACTTCAATTCAGCCACATTTAACGTGTTTTCGACGGGAAAAGTATGAAAACATATACCATAAGTAAAGAAACAGCAGATAACAACAATTCGAAGTATTCAAGAAATATTACAAAGCTTGTAAAGAAAATATTCCCTTAGGCCGTCCATTGAAATTTAGCTGTCCAAATTCAGAAGTGGCCGTCCATAGGACGTGGCCGTCCATAGGACGGTCGGACGGCCACCTGGCTAACACCCTGATTGGAAGAATTGAGTCCAAATGACATTGAGGGAAAGTCTTTGAAGAGGTTTCTCATAGACTTGATGGTGCTCCAGGTCCAGGGGGATATTTGAAAAGTTTTGTTACCGATTCAATTGACAAACTATTCTTTGATAAGGAATATGTTGATGAGTATCTTTCAAAGCCCAAGAATACCATTGTTCCTGGATATCATTATTATCAGAGATTGGAAAGATTTCTTGAAAGTCATTTTCGAAAGAAGTTTCTTGAGTTGTGTTGAACATATTCAGATAAATGACATAAAGAAAGCCAAGAAAGAAAATGCAGCAGAGAAAGGCTGATTCAACAGCTGAAACAAGTAAGCAATATGATGACTTTGACTGATTTTCTCTAAAAGATTGTGATGAGATAAAAAAGCTCAAAGTTGGTAGTTTGAATAAATATATAATACATCATAACATCACTGTTTAAAAAGAAACAAAAAGTGCAGGTGATAGAAAACCACATTGCAGCACAGCAGTTGTTAAATGCCACTGGTATCAATGCAGCAGACCATATTCCAGAACAGCAAATTGAGGTTGCTCAACCGGATGCAGATGAGAGCACTGATAGATAGTGATGACAGTGGTGATGATGAAGTGCTTCCTGCTTCCTTTTTTCCTTCGAATTGTTGTAAATTCGCACTTCCTTTCCATTTTTTTTCATATAATTTTGGATATCCCGAAATATATTAACAGTCAGGGCAACAAATAAACAAAGGGTTTGAGTCAAATTCTTCACATTAAAATTTATACATTTATTATAACTTCATGCCATTTACTGTAAAAACGTGACAATAAAAATTACTTTGATTTATAAAACTTGTACAAATTAATCCATTATAAGGGGTGAGTTGCCCTAAGTTATGAACAACAACCATAATTATTATCAATAAATAAAATGAACTGCAAATAATACTTAATAGCACAGGTGGTTAAGGGGCGGACCGTTAGAAATCCTGGGCAGGGTGTGTGTGACAATTTCCCCCCAAAAAACAAAAAGAGAAATCATATGTTAGTGGGAAAACAATTCATGCACCCAATAATTCATGGAAAAGAACTTTTTGTTTTGAATGTTTTATCTTTTTTATGTTTTCTGTATAAAAAGTTGTCCCACTCTCAAGATTGCTAAAGGTCCGCCCTAATCGTATTTGTCATTGTTCTTCTTGGTAGCATGCCAAGTCGACTCTTCTAATATCCAGCCAGTCTTCTTGGGGAATGCCATTTGACCACTTGGTCGTTTTGAAAACCAAAACTCTTTTTTTTGCGGGCTCTCTGTACCGTAATTTCTCGGATATATTTGCGCTATCAAAAAATAATTCAGATAGTTGTGGTGAACAAATAATATTTAGTTTTCAAATTATCATCTCCAACATGTTGGATGAATTTGAACAAGGATTATAATTCAAATTTATCCATGCAACATGGTGAATATATATTTATTTCTTGAGTGACCAAGACCATTTGCTAACACAAATTCTTTTTTCATATAGGTCTTCATATTAGAGCGCTGGTCATCCTATTAGGGCATTTGTCAACATTCAAATTCATTGGCATTGGGTTAACAATTCCTCAATTTGATATTTTGAAATTATACAATATTAGAAAAGTGTGCATGTTTGAAACCTGCATACAGTACCAGTAATGGTTTCTGGTTTAGATTCCATATATTTTTCACTTCTGTTAAATTTTAAACCATCCTCAAAAAAATCTTATTGTTTTATATTAATTTGACAAAAAGATGCTGAGGCAAAGTACAGTAGCAAACGATGCTGGTAATTATTTTGTCCAGCAATTATAGCTTAATTATGAGGAGTGTTAAATCACAGTACAGTCAATATATGTCACTTACTGCAACAATTATTTCATTAGTTAAATGAATCCTATTACAGCCGCTACTATGCTTTTCCCAATTAAATGCACAATTTTTGTCTGTCATACATCAGTAGATGCAGTGAGTAATCTGTCATATCCAGCAATTCCAAGAAGCTATGATATTAAGAGTAAAACAAAGCACAAATTATTTTTAACTTAATTTTAACTTAATAATATGCAACATTTTATTATTTGAAAGCTTTATAATGCATATCCGAATTGTTGCGATCTCAATCAGCTGCATGTTATGATTCAACTGCAATTTTCTCCCAGTGCAGAATGCGTCATTTGGATTTACAGTCAAAACTCCAATTTTGTCTATGTCAAGTGTTTGCCTTTGATGAGCAAAACCACTTGCCATTAAGAGTCCATATGATTTATGGTTCAGTCCTGTACCACTCGATCCTCTTCCTGGTGGTGGATAATTTTGTTGAGAGTTTGGTCCCAAGGGAGTCCATGAACCATGCATTAAGTCATACCATGAATTTGGTCTTACCCTTCTCCTTTCTTCACTCCTCCAGTAGGACATCTTTGCATTTTCAAACCTCTTATATCGAAGCAATAATTCTTCACATGTGAGGCCTGTTGGTGAACCTGTGAATTCCAATTTCAAAGCTTTCTAAAGGTAGGCAATTAAAGTGGGATTTAGTATTAGGATAAAAAAGGATAGTAATGCAGAAGTGCATACTGGCAAACCAAAACTGCTAAAGCATTCCATTTGCATGTTTATCACAACCTTACAATATTTGACTATAAATAAATGCAATGAATTAACAAAAAAACGAGACATTGGGAGTGGAGGCGTTTTTAATTAACATTAAAATTATGACTAACTCATCTTTCTGCATTTCTGCATCTTTATCAACCGTTTCGTGCCTTTGGAAATGTGCATGAGAACGAAACATTTCTGTTCAATTTAATGCAATACAAAGTTTGCACACTGAAAAAGTTGTCTAGTTAGGAGAATTTGAACAAGAGATCAATGGTGTTCAGTCTACAGCCAATCAGCAACCCGTATTTTTAATTAGTTTTCCAAATAAGGAAGCAAACGTTCAGAAAATAAATATATGTGCCAATAGCAAATCACTTCTTCATTTAAAAGTTTATGCAAAAATTAACAGAAATAATGCGAAGTATTTTTTTTGCAAAAGTTGGCCGACTGTGATGTGTGAGGTGCTTTGAAATGGAGACAAGTATGCATTTTTAACTCTTTCTCAGCTGGGTCCATTATGCGTAGAATGTGCACGTTCTACGGATGTAATTCGTTCATATCTTTGGTTCAGTGCACGCTATGTAGATGAAAATACCACCATTCGATTCAGTATAAAAATATACACTAATTTATAACGACAGTTTTAGTCAGTGGCTAAATTGTAGCGATTTATGAGCTTTGAAAGTCAAGCAAAGCTTGGTATTTGATCAAATTACACAATATTACTAACAAATTATAAACATAGACATACCTTTTGCCGAACATAACTTCGGCCCCTTGAGACGTATGCTCATTCTGGTAGTCTTGATGAATGAAGCAGTTAAAAATACATGTATACTGTTATTTTCAAGCTTCTATCTTTAAAATGTGAGTTTTCTTGCCGAATTTTGCATTTCTGCCCCGAATTTGCATTAATCCCAACCGGAAATACGACGAAAAACGGTCAAAACAATGCGAAGTTTGTATCGTGTGACTCTGGAAATGCCAGAAATGGATTCTACAGGTCAAAAGTGCACCTATATGCATGAGTTTGACGTCATCCCGGCTAAAGGGAGCTCCTTATTGGCCAAGTATTACGTAATACAAGCGCATGCGAGTAAAATCTGATACCTTGAAAAATTCAAAATAAATATTTCTACTCGCCGTATTCATACGAAACTTTCTACACGAAAGCGCTTGAATACAAAGAGTATTTTACACATATATCCTTTCAGAAAATGATGCCAAAGTTTAGAATCT